CATTTGCAAATCACTATTAAAGTTAGTACCTGTTAGGAGGTGGCCTTCTCCTAAAAGGAAACAACTTTGTAATGCTGTGAAGTTACTTAACACGTGCTAAACTGTTTCTATGTGCATCTGCTTGTGTTCTAACTGCACTTAATAAGTGTGAAGTTAAACATCTGACACCATCTTTAATGTTTAAATGTTTCTGTAGAGTTTGGGTGTCTCAGTTTATGACTGTCTAACTTGAGAAAGGATCTGATTTTTGGAAGTGATATGTAGTCATGGCTTTACTCGGTGATTTGGTGCATAGCAACTCTGAAAATCAAATCTGAGGTATATCCAGTTGGCTGTTCATAAACCTGAGGTATTCAAATTGTAGACATATGGGCCTTGATGTACCCATATACATGTCTGCGTAGGGGAATGATAACTATTTATACATATAGGAAGCTTCAGTGTTCAGATGCTGTGTTGATGGATGCTTTAGAATACCTAAGATGCATGTAGTAACTGAAGGCTTGCAAAGAGAGAGAGAAATTGTTTGGGGACATCCAAAGGCTTATAATTAGAAACTGCTTAGGATAAAATTGAGCAAAGGAAAAATTATAAAAGAAAGTTCTTTAACCCTGGTTCCTTATTAGATGGTAGGCTAATTTCCCACAGGAAATAGTAGAAGACTCATTGTTCAAGTTATTTATAACTATAGATTGCAGAACGAACCAGATAAAATACAGTTGGGAACAATTCAATACTACAGGGAATGTCTCTTCCAGAGGAACTGTAGGGCTAGACTCACAAGGCGTGATGCAGGGTGACTTTAAACTACCTTAATATAAATAAAGAACAGACAGCTGCTTGCCATAGTAGTCTCCTGGAATAAATTAGAGCAAATTCCTAAGTGCCTAACTTGTGCAGGCTGTCAAGAACCAGATAGATCACCTAGTGACTAGCCGTGCTTCTTACAGTAGATATACTTACAAGCATGCATACAAATAGTAAAAATAAGGATCTTCTGGATGTGTAAGGGAGTGAGTCTGACAGGTTTTATGCATTTTCACAACAAAATTGGGCAAGCTCATTTGAGAAACTTAACTGTACAAGTTCTTGAATTAGCAATTTAAGTAGATGGCCAATAAAAACATCACAAGAATTTCCAATAGTTATTGGGACTACAGTGATGAAATGACTGTCGAAAAGATTCTTTGCGTGGGCAGGTCACTTTTAATACATCAGAGAGGATGAGATCGGAATATTAAGCATAATTCACAGTGCCCATCCAGATCTTGTGAAATGTAAGGATAAAGAAAAAGCTGGAGACATCCTGCTTTAGCCAGACCATTGAACTGCAGCCACTGATGGCAGGATTTAAGCACAGCACCTACAAGATATTACATAAAAAACCATGCAAAGGAATCACTAAAACCACATGAGAGTCCAGATATTCCAGAGATTAGAGATTCCATATTCTAAGGTTAGCACAGATGCAGTCAAATTAAGTGAAAGGTTGCATCTTATGACTATTGAGCATCTTTGTTTTAAACTGGGATATTGTGTGGAATGCATCAAGTAGTAATATAATAATAAATTGTAAATTGCATTTTACTAGCCATTAAATTCCAAAGGATTTAATAAATAATGAACCATAACTGTAATTTTGGCAATTCTTTCAGTTCAAGTCCTTACTAGGGATAGTCAAATGCATTAATACAAAATTCAGTAAAACCATCATAGAACGTCATTAAAAAATACTTGGCAAATTCAAAGAGTCCATAGTTAAGACCAGCAGAACCTCTCTAGTCCCACAGTATTAAGTTTATAGAGGCTCATGGAAAATGGACAAAAACTTAAGTGCCAGAATCTAACAATCTCTTACTAAAACAATTTAATCAGGGATTACTTACAAAATAAACTAGAGCAATGGAAATTACTATGATAAGCATGCTCTGAGTACAGGTAAAAGAGAGAGTTGGATTTTAAACAAAGTTATTGGCAACCTACTAAGGTAACAGCATCTAGTTAACCTATGCCAAGATCACATACACAACCCACCTCAACCCTGAGGTTTCGTCTCAAAGTGGGGACACACACAGGTTAGGGAAAGAAAATACACATAAACCAGTTTAAGTGATCAGAAACTGGTTTAAACCTGTAACCGAACATAAGTTCAGTGCACATAGATAAACCAGTTTCAAAATGGCCAAAACTGGTTTAAGATAGACCTGGTTGAATGTAGTATCAGACTTAACTGATTTGAGTCAAACCAGTTTATGGAATTTCTGTCTCAGACCCCTTCCTGGTTTAAGTTAAACCAGAGTCCCCCAGCATGCTTTTCAGCCCTGGGCTGAGCTCAGCTGTCTGCTCCAGACAGCAGAGCTGGCCCTGCCCCCTGCTCTCTAGCTGGAGCAGGGGTGGGGGTGTGGCCAGACACTGGCCCAGCATGGCCTGCTAAGACTAAGGGGGCAGGAAGGGAGTATTTATTCTCCCCTCCATCCCCTCTCCCCCTGGGGACCACAGCTGGGGTCTGCCTGGCCAGGTGGAGCAGTGCCTGTCAGAGTAAACTCTGCCCCCCCCCAACCCCTGCAACTATAGTGGCAGGGACAGAGGTGTGGCCAGAGCCAACCAGCATAGCCCCGCCATCTGCCTGCCTCACCTGTGGCTGTGGCTACGGCTGCGGCTGTGGGACTGAGCTGGGCTGGTCCGTGGAAGGGTGGATGGGTGCTGAGTGGCCAGCCCAAGATGGGCCATGGGGGTATGGCCCTTCCCAGCCAGCTGTGGCTCAGTCTGGGGCCACGAGAGCTGTGTGCCTGGATTGCTCCAGGCTTCTCTTGCCCAGGCCAGGTGGGGCTGTCATGGAGCTGCAGCTAGCTGGGGAGGGCTGTGGGGGCAGGGCCCTTCCCAGACAGCTATGGTGCCATGACAGCCCAGCCCAGCAGTGGCTGGCTGGGCAGTGACGTGGAGGCAATGCCTCTGCAGCTGTGGGTGGGCACCTTGGCAGCTGGACTGGTTGTGCAGGACATGTTAATTGTGCCTGTGGCTGCCCAGACCAGCTTGAAGGTGCCAGTGGGCCCAGATCCCAGCAACTGCCCACTTCAGGGGCTCAGGTCCCTGCAGCCGCTGCCACCGTGCCCCTTGTTTGTCATTGTACATCACCCAGCCATCTGTAGCCACACCAGAAGCTGCGCACTGGCTGGAGCTGGTGGGGATCTTCTGCCTCCCTTGCCTCCAGGTGTGACTGCTGCTAATGCCGCCACCCCTGCACATATCCGCACTGCTCTGGGTGGGCAGGTGGGAAGCTTCAGCCCAGCAGCTTCTGCCCAGTGCATAGAGCTCTGGCTCCAGCCTCTCGCCACCTTCTATCCACTCTGCCCACCCAGTGCAATGAACTGGATGGAGGTGGATGGGTAGGCAGAGCTAGGGGAAGGTAGCTGGGAGATGGAGCTGGCTCTCCATGCGCTGGGTAGAAGCCACTGAGCTGAAGCTTCTACCACAGCTGGAGGTGGTGGGGGAACAGAACAGCCCTACCAGCCCCAGCCAGCATGCAGCTTTGGTGGGACTGTTCCCAATGCAGCTGCAGCCAGCTGGGTACTGCTGTGCTCCCTTTGCCTCCAGCACCCCCTCCTCCTCCCACTCCTGCCTCTGCTGCACCATTCCAGGCAGCGGTGGGGGAGGGAGCTTCAACCCAGTGGCTTCTGTCCAGCGCATGGAGATCCGGCTCTAGCTCCAAGCTGCCTTCCATCGCTCTGCCTGCTCACAGAGGCTGCTCATCGTGTTGGGCAGGCAAAGCAAATGGAAGGCACCTGGGAGCTAGAGGCAGAGCTCCATGTGTGAAACTTCCTGCTCACCTACCCATAGTGGCATGGCAGAAGCAGGGGTGGCAGCAGCAGTGGCAGCTGGAGGTGAGGGTGGCAGAATAGCCACACTGGCCCCTCCTGGCCAGTGTGCAGCTTCTGGTGCAGCTGCAGCTTGCCAGGTGCTGCACAGTGATGGACAGGGGGTGCAGTGGTGGCTGTGGGCACCTGAGCCCCCGTGGTGGGTGGCTGCTAGGCTCTGGACCCACCAGCATCTCTGAGCCAGCCTGGGCAGCCATGGGCATGATTAACACATTTCACATGGCCAATCCAGCTGCTAATGTGCCCACCTGCAGCTGTAATGGTGTCAACTTTGCACTGCTGGCTGGCTAGTCACCACCTGTGTTGCTGAGCTGGGCTGTCATAGAGCTGCAACTGGCTTGGAAGGGTCCTGCCCTCACTGCCCACCTGGGCCCCACTGGGCCCTTCCCATCTGGCTCTGGCTCTATGATGGCCCCGCATGGCCTGGGTGCGGGTAGCTGGGAGTAATCCAGGCACATGGCTCCTGTGGCCTCAGCCCAAGCCACAGTTGACTGTGAAGGGCCTGAGCCCTGCAGCCCAGCTCAGGTGGGCCTCTCTGTATCTGCCCTTAGCATCACTTGTGGGCCAGCCTGTTTCAGCCCCATAACTCCAGCCCCAGCCTCAGCCCTGGGCAGGTGGTGGGGCCATGCCGGCCAGCTCTGGCCAGGATCCCCAATGCATGAGCAGTGGGGAAAGCCAGGCAGACCCCAACTGCTGTCCCTGTGCCTGTGCCTGAGAGGGGAGACAGGAGAGTTTAATTTCTGTCCCTATCCCTCTTCACCTGAGGTGCTGCCCAGGCTGGTATCTGGCCACAGCTGCCTTCTCCGCCCCCCTCTCCCCCTAGGGACAAGCCTGGCAAGGGCTGCTCCCTTGCCTCCAGCCAAACCCTGGCTGGGGTCCTTGCAGGCCAGGGTCAGGGTTTAAACCCTTTTCCAATCATACTTAGCAGCCTGGGGGCAGGAGGGCTGGCCATGCCCTCCCAGGTCAGCTTCCCTTCAGGCTTACGGCTGCTGCAGAGGGGAAGGGAAGACTCACTTTAGCACCTCCCAGGCTTCTAGCCTGAGCCACTGCAGGCATGTGCATGTATTTCTGCAATCAAAAGTGAATGTGTATTCACTTGCAAATTGGTTCAATCTATGCAGGTTAGACTAATCTGCAAAGACTGAATCAATTCAAGCTCAGGCTTTTTGAATGTCTGTCCCTAGCCAAATAAAACCAAGGATGACACCAACTATCTATGTATTAAAAACACCTAGAACACTACTGACAGTCATTATATGCTGATGGGAGTAACCAGTGGTGATTGTGCAAGTAGCAGCTGTGTGATAAGGGGACTATTGAGGTTCAAGGACAGAATTTTTATTGAGACAGATGCCTATTGAAATTAAAAATAAGTTTTTAATTTTCACCTTGCTTTGACCATCTGCTCGGACCGCCACCCTAGACATCACCCTTTGATCGTGTGATAAATTTGCATTTGACTTCCAAGAAAAGATGATGAAATAACAGCCATTTGAGTTGAAGAAGTCACGTTACTCGTGTATTCAGCTGTGTAGGGACATGGCCGGGTGCCCGGGTCAAAGCAGAAGCAGCAACTTCTGGTTGTTGCCCAGATAGTGATTGCAAATGCACAGCTGCTGCTTTTTTATTTTTTTTTTTGCCCCACCCCAAGTCATTCCTGGGGAGGTTGCCACTACTGCCTCTTGCACTTATGCCACTGATTCACCTTTGTAACCTTGATCACAGGCAGGTAACTGGGGCAGCCAATACAGATCATTGTTGTACCACCTTGCTCTTATTCCAGTGAGTCCTTTGAAACACATTCTAATCCCTTAGTCACACTGAGTGATACTGTGCACCTCAAATACTTGCAGGTTCAATATTCAAAGAGTAAGGTGAGCAAGGCTAGGAGGATCTGGCCCTTTGCTTGTATCTTGTATTCTTTCTCCTCTTCTTCTCTTTATAATCTGTAGCTTGTACGTGCTAGGACAGCCTCCTGTCTCTCTTGCCCTCTTCACTCCACCTGCTGCCATGCAGCTGTCCTCCCCCCAATTCCATACACAACCAATCTCGCTTTTGGCCCTCTTGCAATGCATGCCTAAAAAACATAGAAGATAGCTCTCCATGTTCTGTATCTTAATGGAAGCTGCATGGCCATTTTTGGATGTGCCTAAGTTAATTAGCCCAGTGCAGTGATGAAGCTGCTCTGCTTCCTGTTCAGGAGATAGCATGCTTTGAGCAGCTTAGCAGTGGGAATTTCTGAGTGAGGGTGGAGTACTGAGAGGGCATCTACCTTTGTAATCTACCCACCGCACCTTTTGTGGCCCCTGGTTGGAAATCGTTGCTTTAGGGCACAGGGAGGCTCTTCCTGTATAGTAATACTGTACTTAATCCTGATCAGGGATGATGGACATTATTGCAACAAATTAATAAAACTAGTGACAGGAGGGTTAATACATTAATCTGTATTGGGAGTGATTTTAGTAGCTTTCCATGTATCAGACCAGACAGGATGCAGCCCTTTTTGTTAACAACTAGTATTAGAATCTGTTGTTTCATGTCTATTTTTTTCAATGTGCACATGCCTCTGTTTCTGTGTGAGCAGACACTTTGTTTCAGCTGCTCACCCAATTGTACCTTGGAGGACAAGAGCGTGGTAGTCTGAAGAGCTGGATCACTTCTTCCCATCAGGCTGTCCTTGGAGGTATCTAGGCCACTAAGAGAGCACACATTCCATTTCAACAGATGCAGCTCACATTTATGCAGGGTACAATTGATAGGGTGACTCACTGCTGTGTTAATGCAAGCTCCCTGCTTTTTTTTTATTCTTCCCTTTTTTTGAATTATAACTTCAGTTCATTCAAGTAAAATAGATTTTACTTACTGCCTTACTGTGCTATTTTAGGGGCAGAATAAGAGGACAATACGCATAGATGGTAATAGAAAGACATGACTGCAGGCTTTGTATTACATGCTTATTTGGGAGCAATTAAAAACACAATGTGTTAAAAGAGAAAGTATACAGAATATAGGAGACTGTGTATCATCCTACATGCCTGAATATTGAGCAGTATAATTAAGATACAGTTCATGCAGTCCATAAGTAAGAACAATAGATATAGGAAGAAAATGGGCCCCATCCTCAGCTGGCGTGCATTAGTATAGCTCCATTTAAGTAAATGGGACGATGCTGAATTATATCAACTGAGGATCTAGCCTTAGCACAGCCCCTCCACCTGTCCTCATCATCTCCACCATTCATCAAACTGCTGTGTTCATAAGCATCGATTCATAGAAGTAAGCTACAGTACTCTCACTTACCTTGGCTTGTTTAGCAAAGGGACTTCATACAAAAGTCACCTCATGGTCCAGCTGCTGCAGAACTCCTAGGACTAATGCTGACTACTGTGGCTTAAACATACCCTTTACCAGAACCCCACCTATCGGGATGCTCTTGGTCTACAGTTTAACATGATTGGTATCGTCTGTAACACACCCAGAGTTTACATAGGATTAAAAAATATACTTTTTATATTGATCCTCTGGGAGATGCACACAGAAAGAGAACTAATAAACCTTACAAACATTTCCCTCCCTTACTCTTCTCATCACTCTGAAGCATTCTTTGGGTTTTGCTCAGGAACTTCTGGGGGTGTCCATGATTCTTCCTCTGAAGCTTGCAATCTTTCTTTAAAATTATGGACTCCTTCATGTTCTTTTCCACATTAGCCTGCTTCAACCTTGGCTGTTCCCACATTTAAATAGAACCTTGTCTCCCAGCTCCAGCATTGTTCTTTCTTCCTGTCTCCTGTCCCCAAAATTCCCAAGGTATCCTATGAGTCTTCCTCACCTTCTTGTCTTGCTTTCCTTATTCACTTCTAGGAATTTTCTACTCTCTGTAGAGAAGGGGGAAAAACTAGCTTCTCCTACTTCAGCCCATTTTTTCTGTGTTTTCACCTGAAAGTGTGATCATTATGGTCTGACAACCTACTTTCCCTGGTTTGACGGTGCCTTTGTTGGCAGTGGATTCCACATATACTGCCACTTCATAATTAAATAATTCAAGATAATGACTTCATAACTTCAGCTGTATGTTATGAATGGTATGCAAACAGGTTGACTGTGTCATAATAGTGGAAATCTTAATTAAACCTGGACCTACACTTCCTTTGAGGTAATTTTCTTTATCCTCTGGATTGTCTATATGTTTAGACATAATAACTAAGAGTTCTGTGGGGATTAATCAGCTGAAAATGACAGAGTAAAAGCTAATCTGAACTTTCATTTAGAACTTCAACAAACTGAAATCAAATTGTTCATGCCTGGCTCATGGGTACTTAATTAGTCATTAGCATTTTCACATACAATTACATTTTCTTGTTCTTGCTTAGACCATAAATGGGATTCTCAAAATATCATGAGACTGTTCTTACTGTAAATTGTTTAGCCGGTAGGAATTACTGTAATTCTCATTTTTAACTTCATTTTTAAATTGAGAGGTCTAAGATATATGTCGAAAGCAAACTTTTTAAGGAATTAAATATCATGGATGAAATCCTGGTTCTTGAAGAGTGGCAAAGTTCCCATTGACTTGAATGGTGCCAGGTTTTCATCCCACACAAGTTCAAGTCTCTGCAAACAAAGCAGAGACTTGATTTTAACACCAAATACATTTTTTAAAAAGTGTTTCTGTGATTAAGAGATTATATACGTGAGATAAGGCAAAATAAGTCTGTCTAGGGCATGACATGTACAAGTTGATTGAAATTCAGTTACAGGATTAGAAGAGAAAAATAATTGAAACCAATATTTATTTCAGAAACTGAAAGGATTTTCAACTCTTCACGTTCGTTATAAAAAAAAGACATTTACTAGAATTCATACTTCATGCCATTTGTTTTTGGCACAGTCTTTTTCCAGTTCTGAGAACAGATACTATTTATTCATCATGATATACAAGCTGTTTTCCTCCCTTTGCTAGCTCCCCTTTACAAGTTAAGTTATATGCTCTGCAAATATTGTATGTATAGTTAGTTAATTATAGGAATTATCTAAGAGGAATTATCTGAGAGAGGGTGGCTACTCCAGCCCCAGCATCACTGCTCATTGCCAGTATTTGAATGAAATAAACAGTGTAAAATGGGCCATTCTCTCCCACGTGCTTTGGTATGCTATATAGTATGGCAAAATAAAAATCTGGGGCGAGTAGCTTTGCTTATGTGAAGACCTGGAGGATAATCAGGTGGCAAGTAACTGCTAATATAGATTCGTCAAGAGTAGTAGGCAACCATCCATCGATTGTTTAGATCATGGTAAGAGTAAGTCATGGCTAACCAACCCAATTTCCTTCAATAATAAGGGACCGGCTTTGTGGATGGAGAGAGAGAAATGGATGTGATATACATTGACTCCAGCAAGGCCCCCATTGCATTCCCATAAGAAACCAGAAGTAAATATGGTCCAGATGAAGCTAGGTAGGTGCAAGGTAGGTGTGTAACTGGTTGAATAATGGTCAAATGTTGACTCAACATCAAAATGTAGTCTGGTTCAATATTTTCTTAATGATAGGGAGGAGGAAATTGAGTATACACCAGTGAATTTGCTAGGCAGACACTATAGAGCAGGGGTGGGCAAAATATGGCCCACAGGCCAAATCTGGCATGCTAATTGACTGTATCTGGCCTATGGTTGCCCCCGCAGTACTCTTTATGGGGCCAAGCCCCACCTGTTTCCACTTGGGGCAGCCTGTGCCATGCTCCTGCCAACACTCTTGCTCCAGCTCTGGCTCCCACCCTGGCCAGCACATGCAGCTTCCTAGTGGGGCTGTTTCCACTGCTGCTGCTGTCACTCAGGTACTGCTCACCTCTCCCTGCCTCCAGTGGCCCCTCCTCCTGTCCTTGCTCTTGGCACCAGGTAGTTCAGGCAAGTGGCAGCAGCCATATGGTCATGTGCCAGGCACCACATACCCAGCCAAGCAGAGGGGAAGCTGCAGCTGAGCAGCTTCTCTCCCAGCACATGGGGCTTTAGCTCCAGTTTGAGCTCGCAGCTTCCCTCTACTCACTCAGCTGCCCAATGCAATGAGCAGCCCCCTGTAAGCAGCTGAGTGGGTGGAAGGCAGTTCCACTGGGAAGCTGTGTGCAGTGGCTGGGGCCAAGTGTGACAATGCCATCAGTGGGTGCAGGGCAGGTGCTGTCAGGAATATAGTGTGGGTTGCCTTGGGCAGGAGCAGGTGGGAATTGGCCCCACGTGGGGTGCCATGGGGGCAGCCACAGTCCAGGGAGTGGAAAGATTGTACATGCACCTTGCATTTGCACCATATGGCCCAGGCAAATTCTGCTGCATCCACCCCCAGCACCGTCCTCCTTCTTCCCATCCCCAGCCAACTCCCAGGACCTAGCACATTGGCAGCCCCCCACACACAGATGCCCCCCAACACACACATCCCACCCACCACCACACATGCAGTATAGAATTGTAAGACTTCATTTTGGGGTATTATGCAGTCACCACAAAATATGCACTCTATATGCACTACTAAAAATAACAAATCAGGACAAAAATTATATTTTGAAAAAGAAGTAAAATGTGTTATAGTAGATGTTTGATTTTTTTTTTTTAGTAAATGATTTATTTTTAAACTTGAATACATATGTGCATAAGCTCATCAAAACTTGTTAAGTGGCCCACCATCCAAAATAATTGCCCACTCCTGCTGTAGAGGACAGATTTAGGATACAAAATTATTTTGATAAATTAAAAAAATGATCTGAAATAGATTAAATTCAATGAAGATAAATGCAAAACACTATACTAAGAAAGGAACAATTAAGTTCACAAATACAAAATGGGAATGGCTGGCTAAGATACTGCATGACAGAAAAGGACCAGGACTTCATGAATAGGAATCTGAATCTGGGGCAAAAGAGTGATACCGTTACAAAAAAAAGCCAAAAGTGTACTGGAATTTGTCAGATGTGAGTTACAAGAAGTTATTCTTTTGTTGTATTCAGCACTTGTGACTGGAGTAATTTGTCTAGTTTTAGATTTGTCTAGTTTGAAGACAGACATGGACATGGACATGAACAAAATAGAAAGAGTCCAAAGGAGAAAACCATTAACAAATAAAAACTGAATATCCAGAATACATGATATTAGCAAAGATTGGGGGAATTAGAATTATTTAGTGTGCAGCTGGACAGGATTATTTGGTCTGGAGAAGTTTGAAAGATGATTTAATAATAGACTTCAAAAATTAAAAGGTAGTTCTAAGGAGGGTAGCAAACAATTATTCCTGTGTCTACAAGGGACAACACACAAACTTGTCTTATATTGCAACAAGGGAAAGTAGGAAGAACTTTCAAACTACACAGCTGACTAAGCACTAAACAGCTTGCCTAGATAGGCTGTATTATCTCCATCACTGAAGTTTTTAAGTGCAGATTAGGTAAGCATTGTTTAGACATTGATGAAAAAGAGGTTTCATAAGATGATCTCCTAAGGTCCCTTTCAGCCCTATTTTCTATAATTCTGTGAATATGTTATGTAGGACTTGATAAGACATTGCCATTTGAGGCTTGTCAGTGAGGCCCTAAGGGACCGTGACCACAGGGAGAGGGGAGTTCAAGAGGAGTGGTTGCTCCTCAAGGGAGCGATCCTCAATGCACAAACTAAGTCTATTCCATCTCGGAGGAAAGGCAGCAAGAGGGCACAGCAGCCCCCCTGGCTCTCCAGGGACCTAGCAGATCTCCTGAGACTAAAAAGAAAGGCCTACAAAGGGTGGAGGATGGGAGTCACCTCCAAGGAGGATTATTCTGCACTGGTCCGGTCCTGTAGGGAGCAGACCAGGAAAGCCAAGGCTGCAACTGAACTCCAGCTAGCTTTGAGCATCAAGGACAATAAGAAGTCCTTTTTCAGATATGTGGGGAGCCGGAGGAAAAGCAGGGGCAACATTGGACCCCTGCTGAGCCAGATGGGGCAACTGACAACTGACGCCCAGGAAAAAGCCAACCTATTAAATAGGTACTTTGCGTCAGTCTTTCATCAGTCCCATGGGACACCCATGCCCGCTACAGGGCCGGGAAGTC